TGAAGGCATTCTCGATTGGTCAGTGGAAAATGTCAAGATGCCATTTCTGACTTAGGTCTTTGGTGGGGGGCGGAAAGAAATGTGTACACACCAGAAATCAAAGGAAATAATAATAATAATAATAATAATTTAGAACACTAAGTCATTCAATTACACATCAACAAAATAAAAAAAACTTTGTGTATTTCCATTATATTCATAACAATACATTGATTTTAAATTCTCAACTCGTGAAATGTTTTTATTCATTCTACGATGAAATAAAAAACAAAAATGACAAACCTAGCAACGAGCCAACTATCTGGTTTGTAAATTCTTTCTTTTTATGTGCCGTGTCCTTTCAGGACGTAGGCGATCATGGCTCACCACTTCCCACTATCCCTTGTGGCTCTCAATGAGTTTCATCCCTCTGCTACCTCCCCCCCCAGACCACGTTCTGTCATCCACTTGCTTAAGCCCACCAGGATTGTCATACGTTGCTTTCCCCTGCCTCTTTTCCCCTCTATTCGACCTTTGAGTATCAGATTCTCTATGCCCTCCTTTCTCATCACGTGTCCCAGAAACTTCAGCTGCCTTTTCCTGGTGTTAACTATAAGCTTCCTCCTTGTCTGCATCCTCATCGTTACTCACACGCTCAGTCCATAATATCCTTCGCATCCTTTTGTAGAACCACATCACCGTCGCCTCGAGTCTCTTTGAAGAAACCGTCCAACACTCGCTGCCGTAAAGGAGGACATATTGTAAATTATAAAACCCAAAAGTAGTGTTTGTTGTTATAGCCTCTGTATAGTTTACGTACGATAAGTGTTTGTCGTTAATAATTAATATACTAACTTAATAAAACAGCTGACGCACACCCGATGTAGCCTTGTGTCACACTTCAGCAGTTAAACAGTTTTTTATGATATTCGCTCGATATATATAAAGTACATTATTTTTGATAACGATTTCAATATTTCCTGATTGCTTCGAAATAAATTCTGCATTAAATTCTTAAAATATTTCTTTTTTTTTTTATTTCAGAAAACTAAATTTGGAGGAAGTGAACAAAAGAAAAATTTCTCCGTTGAACTCATTCTTTTTTTAAAAATGTGTAAGAGGCGAAATGAAGTTATCGTACCATCGACTGAGTAACGAAATAACGAAAAATATTAGTAAAAATTTTAAAAACCGGAATAGAAAAACAATCCTTGGAAAAATAAGCACACACCCATACACATGTATGTTTTGTGTGTGGGCATAGGAATCAAACCTGCATAGCCATTGCCACTTTCGCCCGCCAAACGATCTTCAGATAAATATATTCAAGAAATTAGTCACATTAAAAATATCGGCAAACAAGCGAAGAGACGTTATTATAATGGGCTATTAAATATATATACTAAATATTAATTGAGTTTAAAAAAAAATACGCCAGAACACATTAGAATTCTAACTACGCAGGTGATTACTCGAACCTTGAAGAAACGATTGGTTACTTTTTTCAGAGTTTAATGGATATTTACTGTTCAATATGTGCGCCATTTTGTCATTGCAGAAAAATGCCGATGTGTGAGAAAAACCCATTTTTATCCAAATTCGCGTAGACCGTGATTTTTTTAAATCTTAACAAAGAAGAAGGCTTTTTTAACAACGACAAAGCCCTATTTTTTAAGGGATAGCAGCAAGTAAAGAGAAAAAATACGAATATATTAATGTATATTAATATATAGATATTTATAGATGTATGTATCAGAAAAACACGAAACGAAAGAACGATATAAAAGAAGGGATGGAGAAACGAAAGAATTTAATGCGAAAATTATTTATCAATAAGTGAAACCAAGTTCTATGTGAATTCCTTTAGGTATGTTAGAAAAAGAAGCTTCTACATCCGTTTTTTGTAAAGGGTGCTAAAATAAATTTCCTTGTTTCGTTAATTCGCACTCATGATCAGATTTACCTTAATATCAGAGATGAACGCGGGAAATTCTATTTGCCAAACAAAACAATTCAAAGAGTCAAAACCAATATGCAAATCACTCTGTTGAAAAAACAAAGAAGCATAACTCACTGATAAAAGTTAACAAATAAACAAAAAATAAAAAATCGGTTTTACAGATGAACTGGTGATCTTCGACTATTATTATTTAAAGCGATTATTTTCTATTTTGGTTGTCAAATTCTCGTTTTAACATGAAATACTGGACAGCAGCATAGAACCAGAAACTGAAGATGTGAAATTTCTTCAAATAGAGAAAACAACTTTTGTCTTACCACACGAAAGGGCGGTGTGCTTATATTTCGACATTAGCTTTCACTTCCCCTCACCACTGTGGCTCGATGGCCGTTTTTATGTTTTCAACTTTAAACCACGAAATCATACGCATACGTAAATCAGATGCTTTCGTCCGGCCACGTGTACAACAATGACCTGCTGAGGCCAAGCTGCATTGTTAAATAACAGACGCGGAGATAGATTTTTGAAAGACATCTACTAATGGTCCTTTTTATCCATTATCTACAGGAGCCAACTAATAGTTCGTCATCTGTTTTTGAAAGTTGCCAAACTTTTCGCTGTTAATTTTTCAAAAGTATTTTTCCCGTTTTCCTAGTCATCCTTATTTTAGAACATTTTCAGTTCAACGAGATGAAAATTTTGAATTGCTGTTTAAACATTTTAAATTGAGAAATCAATCGGGTGGATGATATTAATTTTTGAGGATTTCTTATCAGTGTGTCTTCTTTATCCGATACAGCAAAGTGAATCTTAGGTTCCAAAATATTCATGCAAGTGATCTAATCACAGTGTTTCTGGCAGCGTTCATTTATATCTATAATGCCAGGAATCGCAGATGTTTAAACCATATGGGAGAAGCAGCGTTGATGGCTAATAAGATATGGGAGACATGATACCCTGCAGTGAGAGGAAAGATAATCGATATTTCTGACGCGTTTTGTGTTATCTTAATTTATCTTATGAAATGTTAGTTCCTACGCTTAGTTAGGTCCGAGGAAACTCAAGTGCAACATACAGGGAAGATCGAACGTTACTCGATACTCGATAATCAACAGGTGACAAGCATGTTAACCGTCGTACCACAGTAGGCATTAGAAAAATTATTGATAAGTGGAGTGTGATCTGGTACAAAGTCGCAATAATGAAGCACCCAGTGAAGATGGCACTAACCGCTGTAATGAATTGATCTGTGAGAAACTTTTGCCAAACATCACACTGGAAAAGATTTATTCGTTAGCTCTGAAATCGTCATTCATAAAGAAATTGAGTCTGATTAATATCAAGTGAAAACTTTGACCGAATCAACGTTTTATACTTTAATAAAGTTTATTTGCTTTATAATACTAATAATAGATAAAGGAGACATTTTTATAATACTTAGATAAAAGAGGTTATTCATAATACTTTGATAAAAGACGTTATTTATAATACTTTCTCACTCTCAAAGAATTTCAAATGTGTAAAACCAGGAAGCAGTCTGGCATTGCGTTGTACACAAGTACCGTCGATATGAAACGAATGTGATAAGTTTCATTATAACTTTTCTTTGATCTTTAAATACGTACACGTTGTCTTATTCTTTTGTTAATTTTTCTTTAAAGTATAAATTCTAGCTTTGTAAATTCATTGATTAGCCAGCTAATTGCAAATGTATCTTCATTAATTAATAAAAATAAACTTATATATATATATATATATATATATATATATATATATATATATATATATATATATATATAATATTTATTGTGAAATGCCTCTGAGGTACATCTGTTTAAAAAATGCTATAGTATAGAAAAGTAATGTATGTACAGTTTTTTTCTGAGTAATTAACGAATTTAGAATGAACGAAACGAAGTTATTTTCCTGGCTGAACATTTGAATTATGAAATTAAACTGACTTGCCAATGGACAAGTACAAGCAGTTTATGTAATTTTGTACACTTGGCGCCAAACATATGACGGCACTGAAAAATGTATGAAGAAGCATGTAAAAGTAAAAAAAGAATAATAAGTAAACACTTGAAGTTAATTGTTAACTCATTACTTAAAGACATGGCTGGATGAACGATAGATACTAAGCAGATGTGGACTCACATTGAAACATGCAGAAGAAGAAAAGGCTAGAGAAAATAAACGAAAACTGTGTCAAATTATTATATACAAATCGAGAAACAAACAGTTCTCGAAAGACTTGCAAGGCCAACACGAAGACTGCCATATTAATAATATAACTGATTTATTTAGAAAAATCCTTTAAATTGTTTCTTCGTGTATTTCATGATTTTTTAGGTGTATAATTTTTTACAATTTATTAAGTAAGAAAAGTGGGATAGAAAAAAAAGAAGTAGATGTAAATAAAGAAAAAATTAATTGAGAAGCCAAGAATTATTTAATAATAATAATAATAATAATAATAATAATATAACATCCTCCTGCTTTAGTTTTAGATATATTTGTCGTTCGTGTCCAACGTGCAAGAAGCAAAAGAACTAAGAACTAATAAATAAGTAAAATCAAAAGAAGCGAAAAATAAAGGAAAAAATGAAGAGTGCAATATCCAAGAACAACAATAGATGCGTACAGACAGGAATTTATGTATATATTTAATATGGTTTAATGCTGGTGCGAAGAATTTCCTTTTCAAAAGTGATTTCCTTTAATTGAATCAAATAAGAAAAAAATGCTATAGAAACAAAAGAAGAAAGAACTTGACAAGGAAGTTAGATTTGCCTAAAATATGAACAAGGAATCATTTTCTTAATGAACCCCCCCCCCAAAAAAAAAACAAAAGAAAAAAAACATGAATGCCACAGTAAACATTCCGTTTCCTACAAACACCATACTAGTGCTAAGGACACTTCTGTTATCATTTATAGTAACCGCCATTATCATCAGTAACATTCTCAACATTATCATTTTGAAGCAGTTGCGGGAACTGCAGACTATCGCCAAGACATTACTAATAAACCTCAGTGTAGCTGATCTTCTTAATGGCTTCATGGTTTGCATACCCGGCTTGTTAGCTTCAACTACAGACACTTGGCTCCTTGGTGAAGTCTACTGTCAAATTTCTGGCATTGTCCACGGCACTAGCTGTTCTGTGTCTATCTGGTGCTTGTCCGCCGTCAGTCTGGATCGGTATTTAGCTATCAGTTATCCGGTCCGCTATCGAAACTCGGCGAATTTACGCCATAGTCTGATCGCCATCATCTTATTCTGGTTAGCTGGGATACTCACCTTCTCGGCACCACTGTTCAACGACGATAACTATTACAAATACCAGAAAAACATTGTTATATGCGGTATGTACTGGGAGTCTCCCGTTTTCTGCATCGTGACTGGACTTTACACGCCAGTTCTGAGCGCTGCTATCTTGTTTTGGACATCGTACAAAGTAACCAAGATGCTAAAGAATATCAGTAAGGTGAAAACGAGCCGGCGTGGGCAAGCAAAGTCGACCCGGGATACGAAAGCCGTACGCATGTTAATCATAAGTGGTATCAGTTATTTCGTTGCTTGGGGCCCGTACACAATTGCTGTCTATCTAATTGCCTTCAAAACGATTCCTTTTATCCCGGAACCTGCTGAATTTATTGTTGCCTGGTTGGCCAACTCTAACAGTTTCATGAACGTCCTCATTTATTCCGGTAGCTTTGAAGGATTCCGGAAGAGATTGAAAAGGTATTTCTCTTGTTTCGCCATCAAATGCTGCAGACAGAACTCTGTGGAACCGGTCAGTCTCCAAGCGGATGCCGTTCAGCCGACGACGATTACTCAGGCCAATGTTTATTAA